GCTTGGCAACTACGTCAGCCAGTTCCCTCAGGACTCTGGGATGCATCTCGTCAGGTCCCATGGACTTCTGTACATTTAGGTTCTGCAGGAGGTCCCGAATGCCTACAGGAGCAAGTTCTTTTTAAAGAAGCTTTTCTTCCAGCCGTTCTAAATGAATCTCAAATCTCTCTTGTCCTAAAAGGAGGAGACAGTGTGGGAGCGTCCTCTGCAGGGTTCACTGTCAGCTCAGAATAGTGTGAAAACATTCAGGTGCGGACTATAACTTGAAACTTGTTGATCTCATTGCTGAGTTTATATTCTGCGCTACTTGTGCCAGAATTCAGAAGAGCATGCTTACCAAAAGAACTAGAATAATTTGTAGATGGTGTAGGAATCAAGGTGTGTGAGCTTTATCTTTGCATATTGGTGAAGAACTCAAGTCTTTGTCACTTGTCTGCACCATGCAGTTGCTATAACATTGTCATTTGTTGCTTTGTGTGAGTTTGAGGGGGTGGGCATGAGAGGAGCGAATGCTGCAGCTCGGGTCTTGTGGACCTGTGAGTAGGCGGGACGGGACGTGGAAGGTCTGAAAACCTGTCGCTCACAGAATGGTAGGCGTTGGAAGTGACCTCTGTGGGTCATCTAGTCCAACCCCCCTGCTGAAGCAGGGTCACCTACAGTAGGCTGCACAGGATCTTGTCCAGGCGGGTCTTGAATATCTCCAGAGAAGGAGATTCCACAACCTCCCTGGGCAGCCTGTTCCAGTGCTCCGTCACCCTCAGAGGGAAGAAGTTCTTCCTCATGTTCGGACGGAACTTCCTGTGTTTCAGTTTGTGCCCATTGCCCCTTGTCCTGTCACTGGGCACCACTGAAAAGAGCTTGGCCCCATCCTCCTGACACCCACCCTTCAGATATTTGTAGGCATTTATAAGGTCCCCTCGCAGCCTTCTCTTCTTCAGGCTGAACAAGCCCAGTTCTCTCAACCTCTCCTCGTAGGGAAGATGTTCCAGTCCCCTCCTCATCCTCGTAGCCCTCCGCTGGACTCTCTCCAGTAGCTCTTCATCTTTCTTGAACTGGGGAGCCCAGAACTGGACATAGTACTCTAGATGAGGCCTCACTAGCAGTCTCGGGAAATTTAGAGCTTTGGGAAAAAATAGGTGCCACTGTGCTCTGGCAAATAAGTGGCTCCAAATTAATCTTCAGTTCGGAAGGTATTTAACCTTCACAGGGTTAAATAATACTCTTAAATTTGAGCTCTACAAGAGCGGTGATGCTAACAGAGCAGCTCTTAGCTTATAGTAATTACCGTCTTCGTGGTGGCTGGTGCGTCAGTCTGGGAGTTGCAGCTGGTACAGCGGTTTGTGAAGGCAGTTTGACGTTAACACAGACTGAACAGACTGATGCACTTTGGAGTCTTTGGATTTTTGTAATTTATCCATAAGTGCACTTCCCGGGAAGGGATGAATCTACTTGGTTGTTGTGGATCTTGGTAAGGATTGTTGCTCAGGTGTGTTGGGGTTTTACCCAGGTGGTGTGTGTATGTGTTAACTTTCTTACTAAAAGGAAATTTGAATCTCTGTGGGAGGAGGAAGGGACTGAGGGACTCTGTACAAAGACAGCATTTAGGATTTGCTTTCAGCTGCCAGAAGCAGCAGTCCTGCCTCGCAAGCGTTGCTGTCTACCAGTCTGTGAAGGCTACATTTCTGTAGTATTTTCTTTTCCAGCAGTTGTACTGTACTATAGCGTTATGTTAGTGGGACACTTCGTGGTATCTTAAATGTAAGTTGGCTTAACTCAGCGAGGCTCGCTTAGAAATGTTTAGTTCTGTGATGTTGGAACAGTTCTTTAGATGGCCAGGGAATAATTCTGTCACGTTCTTACAGAAAAAGAATCTTAGAAGTGACAGATTTGCTTTTCTGTCCCTTTATAGCTCTTAAGTAACCAAAGTGTTCTTACTAAGCCTAATCATAAAGCTCTACCAGATGTAAATAATAAATAATACATGTTTTATTAACTAATGGTAGCTGCCAGAAATAATTATGACACTTTAAGAACTTACTCTTCCACGTCTGTCTGCAGTTATTTATCAGAAAGTCTTATGCTGAAAGAAAACAGAACAACCTTAGCCAAGCTACTGGATGGCATGAAATGTAAGTAAACATTGATATGACAAAACATGATAAACAGTAGCTCTAAAGGAAGAAAGACTTTTTCCAAACAACAAAAGCTTTAAGCAGAAAGGGGTGCTTCAAGTGGTTTTCTTCACCTCAGGGCTGGCATAAGGTGAGTAAAACACAGGCAGCAGAACGAACTACCTAGCACGTGGGTGCAGGGGGAGAAAACACTGAGACTTACCTGTGATAGGAACAGGTGAAATTAAAAGGCAAAGGGCCTGATGCTCTCAGGACATAAATGTTGCAGTCAGTTAAGTGCTAGCGACTGACTCGAAAGTGAGAAATCTGTCTTGGGAGCTAGATGATGGTTTTTTGTAAGTTAGAATGAAATGCCTCTTTTCAGTCACTGCAACTTCATTTTATTACAGCTTCAGGCAAAAGCCTGCACACAACTACTTCTACCACCAGAGGGTAGTTTTTCTCAGCTAAATGATTAATGTTAAGTGATCCGCCAGGATTTATACTTCACTTCTGTTTTGCAGCTATAAAGCTGTTTCAAAAGATGCTTACGGTTGCTAGTGGGAGAATATATATATATATTCACACAGGTATGTATATATATATGTATATATATAAAATATCAAGAATGCTAGTATGGTTTAGCTAAGATAATGGGGAATGTAGTACACTGATTATTACCTTTTTTTAATTAAGATGGGATATGAATTTTCCAGCAAGTAATCAGTTATTTAATGCTTTAAGCTAATGCAGGCATTTAAAATGGGTGAGTGGTAGCATTAAGAATCCAGTCCTTTGACTACGCTGACTTTAGTAGGGAGCGCATAGTACAAGTCACCAGGGCCTACAAATTACATTTAAATTGAATTTATAAACTTAAAATGCTTTTCCCTTTTTCTTCCTGCTAACAAATGCAGTCATCAGGTTTCCATTTGTGAGATGCAAAGGGAACACTGGGTCACTTACTCTTCGCTTGCATTATTCTGGAAGGTAGCTTTAGCCCGAAGGCAGCTCTTCTGTAAACAGACGATGGCTGGAAGGAAATTTTGAAGCACCTGTAAATGACTGGTCTTGCAGAGAACCGGTGGTAGAGGCAAAAGTCTTGTTTCTTGCAGGGTAGCTGTAGATTTAATTTGCGTTCTTAACAAGACTGAAACCAATCTTTTAATTTTTTAAGACTGAGGTGCAGTGCTGAATGCAAAAAATACCTGTGCATTTTGAGGCTTGTTAGCAGAGTAATGTGAACTCTAGACTGTTACAGTTTACCTTGAGGAAATCCAGAATCAACGATGCTAACCACTTGTTTTAGTGTAATTCTTTGTGCTCAGCTTCTGCTGTGCCTTAATGTTATTTAGAATTAGTCCTCGGATGCAAGGTGATCGTTAAGTCTTACATACGTAGTCTTTGATCGTCTCAGTGCTCTGTGGGATGGGAAGTTTTGTAAGCAGGCGGTTTGGGAGCTGTGGAGGACTTAATACCTTGAATGTCTAATGCTTGCTTTGACAAATAGAAGGATTTTAATTGGTAAACTTTCTGTCTTAGCTGTTTGAAGTATGTTGCATGTCTTTTGAGTCTGTTTAAAAACTAGATACGATGCTTTCAAAATGTTACAGAGGTGTGCACTTCAAAGCTCCTTAGATTCTGTTTTTCCTCTGATTTTTTGGTTTTTTGGTGTATTTTTTTTTTTTTTCCTAACTAGTAGAAGCTGCTTGGAAATGTATACTGTGCTCCTGCTAATATGAGGGAAGGGAGGGTAGACTGTTGGCTCAAGCTTAAGTACGAGTGATAAGCAATAACAGTAGCCGTACTACTGATTGATAAGCTCGCGTAATTCACAGGGTAGAGCAGAAATTATTTAATTTGCTTACAGCTGTGTTGTTGACACTGTAGGTATGAAAAATCTCATAAAGAAATATGAACTGCCAAGGCCTGAAGAGGTTGCTGCTCTAAAACAGAAATTAGAGAAGTGTCACAGCTCGGAGCTTGCACTTAATACAAACCTGTAAGTAGATACTTACTCTTTGATGTGTTAAACTTCTGCCTTTTTTTTACTGCTATAGAGACATTAACTTCCTCTGATCTGTGTGAGTGACTGAAAATGAAAACATCTAAATGTGCACACAGGGACGTCTGTTGACATGCTTACTCTGTGAGCGTCTGCTGGAAGCTGAGAACCAAGAGTCAAAGTAGTGCTTTCAGTAATACGGAAATATGTTCTTTTGTGCTGATTCGCACTGCAGGCTGCAGTACTGATTATGTGGTAACACAGAGCTGGAATCCCAGGTGGCTGCTAAGGTCTGGCCACTTGATGTCGTGTGTAATGAGAAGCGAGAGCTTTAAAATCACGTGCCTAAAACAAGGATTGTGTAAAGGGTTAGTGTTTTCTGAAGACTTGTGTGGGTGGCGAAGGACTTCCTGACTTTTCCTTTCTGTCCACTGTGAACTTCCAGCAAGCTGCTAGCAGAGGTTTTGGTAGTTCATGTGACAAGTATGTCCATAATCTAATATTGTGGCCAAATAAGGAGACTCTGACTTGTAAAAATACCTAAACATTTCCATGTTTTTCTGGATGGCGGTTAGGAAGAAGAGGAGAGGTTTTGAAGATGATGAATATGTCACAAAGAAATCTAAAAAGGATGAGGTCAGTAAACCTATTGTACATGTACTTGTTTTTCCACTCTTAACTGCCAAGGCAAAAGTGACATAGCTACTGAGACAAACTTCTGCATCTCTTAATACTCTTTTATGTGTTGCTCAGACAGAATATTTTTTTTTTTTTTTTTTTGCTTTTAAATGAGCTAGAGTTTGTACTCTGAGCCTGCACTTGGTAGTGTTCTTAAATACCCCAGTCTTGTGGGGAGGGGGAAGAACACGCAGGCCATCCTTCCTGCCGTTTCCTGTGCTTTGGAAGTCTTTTGACAAACCGTAGAACAACCAGCATCAAGCTTAGTGCTTAATTCCAGCACGTGAAACTCTGTGATGCCAGTGGGGGGAAGTAGCTGTGAAACTGAGATTTGGAATATTGTGATGAAAGGTGGTTTTGGAAGGCCGGAAACTGGACGCTTGAGGGGAAATCCTAGCTCTACAGGTGGAATCCCACTGCTCAGAATGCGGATGAAATAAATGAGTATATGCTGAAATAAACTCAAGCAGGCTTTTTTCATGGACATTTTCTGTGGTTTTTCTGCTGGCCAGGAACTATTTTTGTTTACTTTCTTTGGCTTCTTGCAGAAAGTGGAAGTCAGCTGCTGGACTAAATTTCTACGTCAGCCAATTTGCTAGCAAGGCTTGCATAAATTATAGATGCATAGCTAATACCTCAGGTTTTAAGACCAAGTATAAAGAAGGTGGAGATAGACTAAGGAGGGTCATTCAACAAATGAAAACAGAATTAAGGTAATCCTTCCAATCTAACCTGAACACCTTTCAGAGCTTTCATTTGTAGCGTTGACTGGAAGTTGTAGAGAAAGCATTCTGGTGAAGGAGCGGCTTTGTAAAGAACCCTTTTTATTGGTCTTCTCCTTGATACTGAAGACATTGTACGTCCTGATAATCTAAGACACCTTAAGTATGGCATTTAGAAAAGCTTGTTAACAGCTGAAGAGGGTCATCTGTCAAAATGTTGACACAAAATGCAGGATGTGTGGTTTTCTAAAATTCAAGGAGTCTTGCCATTTTAAATTAGCATAGTAGGTTGATGCTATTATGTCAAACGAATCTAAAAGATTATTTGAACAAGTCTATAATAAAATTAGCATTTGATGTATGTTCTGAGAAAATTTGGAACCTCAAGCATATTTTATGATAACTATTTAATGCTGTAAAAACTTTTGATGATTGTTTACTCCAAATGCTAGTCTTAAAAAGCATACTGAAATGGGCAACTCCATAAAAACAGCACTTTGATCACTTCAATTTTTCACGTTCTCACAAAATGACTTAAGAGAACGACTCCAGCTAAGCTCTTGAGACTTATTCCTCGCCCCAGTCTTATTTGAAGGGGGTCTTACTGTAGTTATGCCACTACAGAATCACAGAATATTGGGGGTTGGAAGGGACCTCTGTGGGTCATCTAGTCCAACCCTCCTGCCGAAGCAGGGTCACCCAGAGCAGGCTGCACAGGACCGCGTCCAGGTGGGTCTGGAATATCTCCAGAGAAGGAGACTCCACAACCTCCCTATGGTTTGAGGCAGTTTTGATTTGGGGGTTTCTTATTAATTTATATTGACAACTCTTTTTCCAAAGGAATAAACTGATGGGATAAATTCATGTAATCTACAGCATTTCGCGATAAGCTCTTGCAGTTTTAACAGCTCTTGAACCTTAGGATTTTTAAATATTGATGTATATGAATTGCCAAGGGTTTGTACTTGTGTAGTTTCACTTCTGAGTGATTATCACATGCAAGAGCAGATCTGAGCTGGCCAGGACATGAAGGAAAAAGCGTGCTTCATTTTTGGAAGGCTTACGGGATGTGCGTACTGCTCAGACCTGGAGACCTCACGAATCTTGTAGCTAGCCGATATTAGCAGTATTTATAGCTGTGAACAGTTAGGCTGTAATACAGATGTGCACAGTCAGTTCTGATCTACTTGTAAGATTTTGTTTCTTGATTCTGTAGTTTATAGCTGAGGCCATACAGCAAGGCCATAACTGATAGGGAGAGCTTATCAGTTTGAAATAGTCGAAGCAGCACACAGGGTGTACTGGTTGTGCACAGATGACTTGGCTGCCAAAGTAATGAAGCCACAAAAAGCACAAGGTATTAGCAAAACGTTGCAACGTGAGCTCTGGTGGAAATCTCTGCGTAGTTGTCCACAGTGAAGAAGCATGAGCTAAACCTGAAAGAGGTGCTGAAAAGGCGCTGCTAAAATGACTGGGCTTCTGTGACTTGCGGACTAGGCACGGATAACTAGAATTAAGGTTAAAGGGCTTAGTCACCACTAGTTAAAGTATATTTTCATCTTCTGTTTGTGGGATGGTTCTGTTACGTACTACATCCTGGCCATAAAGAGCACAGGGGGCTTTCTGGTGTTCTTGGTAAGTGCTGTGGCATGCTTGCAGAAGCAAGAAGTTAGGCTTTAGTCCCAGGAGGCTTTCCATCCTGTGTTCTGGGATTAGCCAGTGTTAGCTGAAAATAAAATCTTCCCTCCAATGTAGGTACTTGACTGAGTTATTTCTGTTTTCTTCCCTGCACACAACAGAGCAGAAAATGGGAAGTTTTGCTTAGGCAGGGCACAGGGCAGGCAAGAAACATTTTAAATGAACCTGGGAACCAAAATTTGAGTCTCACAACAGACTAGGCCATGCTTACAGAAATGCCTTTAAGGGTGCTCAGGTGTAGCAGCGGGAGCAAGTCTGAGCAGAAACCCAGATCCTGGGGAGTCTAGGGTTGTTCAGCAGTTGTTGGCATGGCACAAGAATCTGCAGGGGAAGTCAACAACCACATGTTTCGTCAAGTAGCTTCTGTATAGGCCCTGCATGAGTTCTTACTCCCCATTTGAGCTCGCCCTGTAAGTTAACCAGGACTCACAGTTGCTACCTGGTTGTCAGAAGTAGAATGGAGTGTGCAAGGTAATCATGGTCCAGTGTCCTGGCAGAAATGCTCATCTGTCGAGTAATGTGGCAGAGCAGAGTGTTTAAAACCAGTTTAAACTTGCTACTTATATCTGCTGCTGATAGCAGACAGAGCTCAGAGATGTGAAAAGCTACCTGTTACTTAAATGCTCTTTATCTGTCATATGTAGTAGAGGTTCCTGCAGCAGCCTGTGCTGTCATTCCATGCACCTGCAGTCGTGTAGTGCCTGGCCCACCTTACTGTGAAACAGACTGAGTTCACGCGTTGCTCAAGGCAGGGCTTTCTTCCTTTCCCTTAGGAAGAGTGGACTGATGATGATCTTGTGGAGTCGGTGTGACTGTGAAGGAAGATGGAACCCTACCGCTGCAGAAACTGCTGCTCGCTGTCAAGCCTGAACCTGTCTGCCACAGGTTCCTCACTCTGTACCATGAGGTATCTATTCTGTCACTTTTTAGTAACTTTGCAATAAAGCATTTGGCTTTGCCAAAATAATGAGCTACAGCATTCCATTAAACCCTCAAGGGGGTTCCATTAAACCCTCAAACTTCTTACTTTGGGAGTTCCCTAGTTTCACCACTGCATTTTGTATGTAGTAGGTAAATAGCCAGCCAGATCTACCAGTTATGCTACCTACACCCAACACAGCCAACTGAACCTACAACATCACCTGCTTTACCCACTCTGGTTTTGACAAACCCTTCTACACCAGGGCCCTTGGCCGACTACTCAGGGAAGAAGAGCAGCTATTTTGATTTCACTTTGGAAAGCCTGACAGGGTTTACGCACCACCTTCATAACCGAGCGCAGGAAGCGTGATGTAACTGAAGCTGTGTTAAGCCGTGTACTCAGATTCTGATCAGGTCGGGAGCTATTAAGCAGAGCATGCCACGGTAGTTCACCACACACAAACACAAAAATGTTAGAAACAGGGGCTGTGGCTTGTGTGACCTAACGGTACAGAGAGAGAAAACTAAATGGGGCACAAAGATATTATCAGTTACCTTCTCCTCCGCGATGCAGTTTAACACAGGCTTGGCAGCAACAGGTCAAGCTGTGGCTTTAAGGGACCATCTAAAAAAAAGTGAGTAGTGCCAAGGTGTTGCAAACAGGTGTGTCCTGATGAGGCTGTATTAAGAGCATCACCTCTGTCTACTAAATGTAGTACCTGCGACACGTGGGAGCTCTCAGCTGCAGCGCTGGGCACCCAGCTAGAAGAAAGCTGGGTCAACTGGGGGGACCAGGGCAGTCCAGCAAGAGCCAACTGCAAACCCCAGAGGCAACAGCAAGGACCCACAGATAAAGTCTCTGCAACTCAGCGTGACAGTGAATGGAGAAAGCCGTTCTAACAGACAGGAGATGCTGCGTGGTGGTTCTAATGGTCTTAACAGTTTTAACATCTGCTTTCTCACCCCATGAGAGGTATGTATAAATACAAAGTAATGCCGTTCTGAGGATTCATGCTAAAAAAGTGACACCGCATGAACATTCCTAAGTACATCATCACGTGCAGACAACGTAAAAAATTCCCACAGCAGCCGAAGGTAGCCAGCTTCCATAAAGAGTTGATCTGCAGCTTATTTTAGAAACTTATTTTTCACTTATAAAAATAATATTTATGCTAGACTTATAGGACACAAAAGACCAACACATACCTATTTTATAAAATGGTTTAATGAATGCATGCATGTCTGATACAACGATCAATAAATTTACTGAATTCAAATTATTTACTGTTGTAAACATTTTACAAAAGCATTGTGATTTCTCTGGATATACAGTCCTTGATGGAAGAACTATTCAGACTGAATCAGTGACACATCAAAAAAAAAAAATAAAGCTGACGAGACCCATTCTGCATATTCTCTTTCAACATGATTCCAGCAAGAGAAACAGCATGGTATAAAAAGTGTACAGTAAAGATTGTTCCTACCATAACATCAAATTCTGGAAACTGTAAATACAAGTTAAAGTGGTTGAAACAGTCGGAAGTCATAATTATTGTAACCAGTCAGAAATTACAGTAAGAATTGTTATCCAGTTATATGTGGCTGTCAAAACATCGCATTTCTTTTCATGTCAGTTGATAATTCTTTTCCAACAAGACAGTGAAACTTTGGCAATCAGAGGTGCTGAAAATAATTTTCAAAGTTCAAGACACAGTCACAGCGTTTTGTTTGCAGAAGGTGAACTGTACACCAAGGCTCAGAGGTTGTGAAAACTGCTTCCAAGTGGAAAAAAAGTGCAAATGTCCTGCACAGATAGCTTAAAAAGCTGCTGGTACAATCATTCACCAACAGAATCTTTGTTTTCTTTTTGCATAGTTCACACATCACTGGGAATGTGACAGGGTGTGCTATTTTTGGCAAGAGCAAGAAGTGATACTGGTGTGAGTCGCCATGTTGGGCATGCTGGATCCATGCAGAATTCAGGTAGAGGGCTGCTACCTGATGTTATTGGACACTGAATACTGGTTTTGTTTTTGTTGAAGCAGTTCAGTAATAGCCAAAAGCTTCTTAAGAACGTGCTGTAGAAAGAGAGTCAGTAGCACCACGTATTAGCAACTGGAAACGGAACAGTCTTGCCTGAGAAACATTTTAAGCATTATTAGCCTATCAGCCTGCTACTAGGTAGTTTAAAACATATTAAAACAACAAAAAATAGAAAGGAACCAGCTGGTTCCCTAGTCAGTAAGATGTTACCTTCAATCGGGAAGTCTAGAACAGCGCTATGAACTTTGCCTCTCCACCCATGATCTTTCTGCTGCTTCGTGGTTTAGCAGGCAGGCCAAGACTGTACTGCTAACGCACTGCCGGGGTTTGCTCGCAAAGTCTGCCCTGTCTGCTCGCAAATGGACTGCTGGCAAATTAGGAAGCAGAAATGAGGTATCGCTGGAAGGCTAGCGGAAAGTAAATTTAGTTCTCAACTGAAAAAAAACCCCAGGTCCTAAAACTAACATCCCAGAGAGCCTGTTGAGAGACAGTAATTCTGTGGGTTTAGGCTTCCTCTAGAAACTGAAACCTCCTCTGGCAACTTCAAAAAAGCCTCTTTGGTTTTTCTGCATGAAGAAACAGAACTACAGACCAAGTATTGACCTTTACAGCTAATAACCTCCTGGTGAAACGCACGTATTCTAAAATGCTTATTGTGCTGCCAGCCAGAAATACTACAAAAGCGTGCTGATACTGGGGGGTGACTCAGGACATAGTGTCCATGCCTGCCATTTGTCCGCTCACCTGCATGACACCTCGCTCGTTGCTGAGTGTCCGGAGCTCATCCGAGTGCGCCACGCATATCTCGTGCAAGGCTGCCAGGTCCCGGGACAGGTCCGTTCTCGAGTGCTCTGTAGTGTCGGGAAGCTCAGGAACGTTCTTCAACAAAACAGACGGGAGCGGATTTAGGGTGCCAAGTGCCCACGCACATGGGAGGAGAAGTTACAGCTCTGCTGACAAAACTGCAAGTGCTGCAATGCTAGTCCACCAAGCTAAGCCTCCAGAAGCCTCCAGCCCATTTTTCTACTACAAATTATCGATCTCCTCTCCGCAAGCATGCATTTTATGAATATACTGCCATTTTTACTCCTGCTAGAAGGGTTCTTACGAAAAGGTCTGGTATTGCTGCAGTACCACTGAGCTGACCAGAAAGGTTCTGCACACTGAGACTTATAACCTTTTCTTAAATGAGAGGGAATCCATCCATCTGGAGCTTTTTTTTTTCAGTCTAGATGAGAACAGCAGCAACAAAAATTGAGCAAAGTCTGTGACTATTGAGTAACTCGTTAAACTGGCCATAAAACAATGTTGTAATTGAAACAGTAAATTAATCCAACAGTTATTTTCAAACCAGCAGTTTTCGGAGACCTCATGGAGAATCTGCCTTTTAAAAAAAAATAATATACCGCAATATGCAGAAGTTGCAATTTAACCAGAAAAAGGTGACATATGGCAACCTACCCGAATGCCACGCTCATTTTTATATCTTATCAAAATATTCTCAGATGTCTTCTAGGTCACTTTCAATGGATCAGTTCAGAAAGCCTAGCACATTTTTTTTGTCTTCATTTTGAAAATGAATTCTTGGTTGAGAACCAGACACGCACAGCATGAGGACCTAACTCCTTTTGTAGCTCTCGTACAAAAGCAGTAACAGTTTAAAGAATACAGTAACTGCAGCTCGCTTTCAGGCTACAATATCTGAAATGAATGCAGCGACACATTTGGTAACACAACTGAAATTCAACCCAGTATTTTTTAAAGCAGAACATAATTTCAATCTCTGGTCAAAACCATATGGCAAATTATGTATGTGAATTTTGGTTTTAAAACATATTTTTAAAAGATCTGAATTTCTGGCCAAAATCTGTAATCTCCACAGGTATAAAATCAATTTGAGCTTCTCACACCTACAGAGAAATGACTAAAGTCTAAGATGACATTTGATGGTTTTAATTCCGTATGACAGGCCAGCACTCTGCAGGCTCTAAACATGCATAAGAACAATTTATTCATTTACAAGCATTCAAAACTGTCTGGGAGCGGATGTGTTTTTGAGCATGTCAATATGAATTGTAAAGAATTTTCATTTACAATGTTGCTACGTAACTTCCAGTAAAGATTTTTTTAACCACTTACCCCAAGTTCATCCAAGAACATGATCATGCGATGTTTATTGCTCTTGATGAATGGATTTACTCCTTCCATATATGGCTCCTAGTAATTTTTAAAAGTATTCATTAGAGCAAACCAGTGCCAAGAGTATTAATTGTCATGCTTGAATAATAATAAATCTAACTGTCATACTTGAACGCAGTGCAGCCAGACAAATGACACTGCAAAACAAGTATCACCTGGAGTGATCAGAAATTCACTTGAAAAAATAAAATGTCTGGTGTGCATCCAGTTAAAAGACTACAGAATCAAGTATTTTCTTACATTCCCCGATTCAAGAATGTTCTGACACATGCATACTGAAATCAATGTGCAGGAAGATGAATATGTCTCAATACCTAGCTGCAATGAACAAATCCTCTACTTTCAAAGGTATGATCAGGACTAAGTGCCCTCCTTCTTGTTCTTTCATTAACGCTGACATTCCAAGTTACCTGTGTCAGAGAAATCACTTTATAATGCCAGCCGGAAGTCACTTTCATTACGCTTAAGTCAACACATTCATTTTTCAGCCACATTTCGGCCTGGGAATTGAGACAGACCAGTTGTTGCTGGCACTGTCTTGGTGTTACAATAGAAACTTTTTTGAAAGCTGGGGCTTTTCAGTGCAATACATCCACTTGATTTACAACATTAATTATGTCTAGCAACATGAGAGCGAATAGTACAAATA